CTCAACAAAGCGTTCAAATAAATATTTTATTTACTAGATAAAGAAATTTAAAAATTTAAACAAAAGAAAAATATTTAAAGAATTATAAAGACAAAAAATTTGTTTTTAGGTGTAACTAAATAAATAAAAGTAGGTATAACTACATGGCATTTTCACCAAATGTTCACATTTGTGTTTTCTCCCAACATTTTTCAAAATATTTTGACTCATATTAAGTTACAAAACGCATGAGAAAATTTCAAATTTTGTTAGTTTTTTTTTAATTTTTGAAAAAATGTCACTTGGTTGAAACTTTGAATTGAATAGAATGTTCCTCATAAGTTGTTGCTAGTGGACATTTAAAAAAAAAGTTGAGCTTAAATACACAATCATTTTTGGTATACAAATATCACGTGACAACATTTTATTAAAAATTTTTTATTTTAAAAGAGCGTTTATAGGCAGATATACATGTTTTTGCGAGTGTTTGTAAAAATTTGGGAAATTTTTAACTTAAAAGTTATAGACTTTTCCAATAAATTGATCCACTAATATATAGCAGGGATATGTTAGTAGCACGGTTAAAGATATTTTATATTATCTTTAATCGTTATTATCAGTGGTGCCGGATCCCCAAAATAAAAGTTTAACAACATTTCATTATGACACCCACCTATAGGTACAGCCGGTACAGGTCTTCCCATTGGTGGATAGAGGATTTTGTTTTGGGGGAGGTGATATTTTTTTTACGTTAATACATATCCTTTTAAAAACACTTATAACAGTTATAACAGTATAATACTATAGTCTATAATGGTATTTAAAAATATATGATTAATTATAATGTATTATATAAGTTTACGCACATAAAAAACGTATTAAAATTAAAAATATTTGTACATAAAAAAAATAAATTTAAAAGTAGTGTTTTATAAATGAAATTGTAAACGTCTCGAATGTTGTTTTGCAAACAAATGTATTACTTCTTCTGGTTTTATATCAATTGGATGATGAATTTTTAATAATGATGATCAGAAACCTGATTTTTTAGTGTTATAAGATTTAAGTCACAGTTATAAACTTACACATCTTATGGGCTATGGGTGGGGGGCAGGCCCCTCTGGACCCCTCTTTAAATCCGCCACTGGGTCTTCCCCTTTCACCAAAAAAAAAAAGCCTTAAAGATTTTTTGTCCATTATTTAATAATGTAAGTAGGTATTATTGAATCCCTTAAGTTTGTCAACTTATTTTACTCTCTCTCTCCAAATTATATTTTATGCACCAACCTATGTATCAAAAAAATAATATGTTCACTGTCCAAATTAGGTGTGTTATTTAATAAAAGGTAACATTTAAATATTTTACTATCCATTTAATAAGAGTAAAAATATAGCTTAAATGTACATAGGCATTAATGTATGCATAATAATTATTAATTAATCAACGGTGATCTTCATATCTTAATTAATAATTTGTGGTGGTAATATAAGATAGGCACTACAAATATAACTACAGTTTTATACAAGAGCATGGATATAACTGTATTAACTTTTAAGTACCTACATATCACTGGTGAGTTTTAGTGATTATAAAGTACTTACCAATAATCTACATAATAGAAATAAAATAGTTATACCCAGATGTTACTTACCAACATTTTCATAATTAGATAAGTTTAAAAATCATGTTTTAATATTTGAATGTAGGTAGGTAATCACATTAAATGTTGGAATATGCGTCATTTCGACGCGGCAATCTTGACGCACGTCAAATGGACGCGGCCATTTGGACGAACGACAACTGGACGCATACGTCCTTTCGACGCATGCAATTTGAACGCCACCACTTTTAGGCGCAAGTCAATTTTGACGCAAAACAAAAATATAATTTAGTAAATTATTTTTATTTATTCTATTTAATTAGAAATATATATAATAATAAATTAATATAAATAAAAATACAATTAAAAGTAAAAAAACATATAATTTTAAATTTACTATTTATAAAATTTTAAATTATGCGCAATCCCTTGAAGCACTTCGTCGATTGTAAAGTCACTTGCATTTGTACATATTTGAATTAATCTTTTGGATGAGTCTTTGTACTTCTTTTTTTTAGTTGGTGCATACCCAGCAATTAATTGTTCTTTTATTACCTTTGTCAAACTTTCATCTCTTTGCAATGCACTTATAAACTTCCATATGACTGGTTTTTTACAATTTATTAATGCCGAAAATGCATTATGCCAGCCCTCAATACTATTATTGGTTCTCGGCAGATCAGATTCAAGACGCTCTGAACAGTTCCATATTTCGATAGGATATTGTGGTTTTCGACGTCGACCCCTCCTGTCCAAAATTCCGATCCACGTAGTTTCGAAATAGGTGATTAATGGAGTTAACATATTTTCATTTTCCATATAAAAATCGCTCTCCAACAAAACTTCAAAATAATTAACTACTTTGTCAATAGGTATAAAAGCAAGCGCTATTAATTTTCGAACTTGTAATGCAAAATTTACATCTTCTATATATTTTGTTGTCAATCCGTAGTTTTGAATTTTTCGCCAAACTGCTTGACTAAAATGAAAAAAACAGCCATGTATTTCTGTACTTGGAAATTCAATTTTGATAGAGTTCATTGCTGCTTTTTCAAAATCTGTTGTAAATGATTTCGGACATAAATCAAACTTAAGGGATTTTAATGCTTGAAACATTTTATTATACGTTATAATATGCGCTCGTCCTGGACAATTTTTAATTTCGTTGCATCTCCATATCATTTTTTCTTTACCTTCTCTATCTTTTTTATAAATAAATCCACCATGAACAAGGAGATCTTTTCCCCGTTGACTTTTTACAAACTCCAATGGCATGTTATAATTTTTTTTTTAATTTACAAGTTAAAATATTTAAAGCACACTAACAGATATAGGTATAGTTAGTTAATAATTTTTAAAAGCGTACGACTCACTGCGCGATATAAAGCACACTAACGCAAACTTGTATTAATGTACAGGTATAATTGAACGGAAAACCGTAATATTTAGATAATGATAAAATGTGTACCATTTATGTGACCATAAAGATTAACAAACTACAATATAAAAATTACAGGGTAATCGGTCAAAAAGTCCTTTCGTCCGGGATGCAGATTACAGATATACAGATACCAGGTTTTTACGTTGAAATTGGCTAATACCTATGTATGTTATTAATATTTTATTTATAAAAATACTATATATAATAATATTATAGTAAAAAAACCAACTTCGTATTATTTTATTTTATTTTACTTAATATTATAATAAATAAAAAATTATATTTTTGTTTTGCGTCAAAATTGACTTGCGCCTAAAAGTGGTGGCGTTCAAATTGCATGCGTCGAAATGACGTATGCGTCCAATTGTCGTTCGTCGAAATGGCCGCGTCCATTTGACGTGCGTCAAGATTGCCGCGTCGAAATGACGGGACACCAAATGTTGACCCTGTAGTTATTTTACTTTGTATGCAGTAACATATTTGACTTCTATATAATTTAATTTATAGACTATAGTAGTTACTACAACCTGTATGATTTATATTTTTAATTTTATATTTGTTATATTTTCAATGATTTTTACATATACGCTTAAAAGAAAATATGTCTTATTTGTACCTACACATTAGTCATTTAAAATTATGTTTTATTAGAGTATAGACATATAGGTACAAGGTAGGGTAGTTAGGAGTAGGAACATTTATGAACAATTACTTACTATTTTTTTTTTAAATATTTTCTCTGATACCTAAGAAATAAAACATGATATGTACTTAATTTTAAATTTTTTTAGTAGAAAGGATGTCTAACAAAGCAATGAAAAATTTTATAACTATATAACTTTAACTATAGTTTCAATCTATATAGATTCGAGATGTTTTTTATAAAGGTCATACTACCCATTTAAAATGGCTGATGCATATTTTAGCAGTGGAACATATAATTTTTAAATTGCCATAATGCCATAAACTAAGACTATTGCCCAGTTTAGCTTAAGTGTTTCGTGTTGACTTAAATTATTTTTAAATTTAACCACTTCACTAATTGTCATTTGAACCAGTTCATTTTAAAATTTAAGTTTGTTGCAAATGTTTTCAAATGATACCTTAAATATTGTTAAAGTATGTTTAAATTGGACTTTGGCTTTTTCCATCAAAGCTTAACTTAAGTAATTACTTGTTTTATCCTATCAGCAGGTGATCATTATTTAACATTATTAGGTTATCTGTACTCAATACCTGTACTACCATTTAATATAACCACTTAAATCTCCAAAATATTATCGAGAGACATGACTCATGCCAGTTTTCTAAATTCAATGAGATTCTTAAGAGAAGAGATCAAATAGTTGTCAAATATATTTCAATCTAACTTGTGTAAAATATAAATTTTAAATACTAATTTACTATTGATATATTTAATTATTAACTATTTCATGGGGTGCTCGTGTGCAAATGCAGATATGTATTTACCGTAATCAACATAACCTACATTCTATGTCTTTTAATCCACATGTAACGTTTGTCTTTTTCAAACAATGCAAATGATCCAGTGTGGCTGTCAAGTTGGATGGACATGGTTCACAAGAAAATTCTGAAACTTTATCAACGATTCTGCTATTTTTTTCACAAACACAACTCAACCCTTCATTTACAAAAAAAAAAATATTAACAGTATTATAATATTTTATCAATACTATAATATTCATAACTTACGATCTAAGGATGATTTCTGGTGATCGTTGCATTGTTTACATGTCATTAAACTGGGAACAAAATACTCGCGTTCAGAACAGTTTTCGGGTGTAATAAATGTAATAATTTCTCTGTTAGATAAGCAGAATTTTACAAAGCTTAAAAAAGTAATCAAATAATATAATTCCATGGTTAAATTGTAATTGGATTTTTTATTCTACAAAATAAATAATTGAATCATTAAATCATTAAATCGTTAATTAATACAAAAAATCATAATTACAACACCATTGTGATTAAGAGTATATGTTTTGAATATGCTTTTATACATATCACAGTTTGTTATGATTCAATTACCATGGCAACATACTGGTAATAATGGGGTTAAAAATAATTTGTATCATTTAGTTATAACAGTGGTTTTAGTTTTCATATCCCTTTTATAAAAAAAAATGTAATGCTTTATCAGCCTTCTACAATATAAGAAAAAAAATTAACATTTTCCTTAGTAAACAAACAACTTTTTATTTACACACAAAATGAATAGTATTTGAATATAAGTGCAAAAAGAAATAATTTAAGAGCATAATAAGATGTGATTATTATATTTTATGTCTATTTAATTATTATTGTTATAATTTTTTTTTTTTAAGAAAATAGATCTGTTTATGTTTCTGAAATTGAGTCTTTGTCAACATGTTCCTTTTTATACTTCAATAAAAATGCAGCTAGAAAACCCAATGGATCAGGTGGTCTGAAAATTTGAAGAATAACAATTAGAAATAGTTAATTACATTGATAAATATTTTATTTACTACTTATGTCATTACTAGGGCTCGGGACTTCTAGGAGTTTGCGTGTTTTTAAATAATCATTGAAAACATAGCTAAGTAATATAAAAATTGGTTTCATAACAATACAAGTTTATATTTAAAATTTATAGTTGCATATTTTACCATATTTCATTTATAAGTGCATATTTGACAATTATTTATATAAGGAGTAAGTTTTTTAATTTTATGAAAAAAAGTTAATTTTAAATAGATTTCCTGGATCGGTTATAAATATTTAAAAATTAACGTTTGAGAATTTCTTGCCTATCACTATAAATGTATTGTTACTTATCGGTACACCACACACGTGATTGTGCAATTATGCACAAGCCGATAATGATACCAAAAAACATTTTATAGACTATGACTAGCAGTAGATAGAGGCCAGAAGGTCCCATGAATAGTAAAAGTTGACAGTTGATGTAGTGGGTTCTTTGTATTTTGTTTTCGTGAAGTGTTTTTTCCATAATAACACATAATAAAATAATTCAAAAATGCCTAGACCTAAACTAAAACCTTATAATCGGCTTAACGTTTTTGTAAAAGAATTTAATTTTTCTTTAAACGCATATTTTAATAGTAGATTTATCAATTCTTTAGGGCATAAATGTATGCTTATTTTAAGGGTTTTTAAGGGCATGAAGTCCCTAGCCCTAGTCATTACAGAATCATCAGTTAATATAACCATTTGGCAATTTAATATAGTATATCAAAAAAATATTGTTTAATATAATATATTAAACTATATTCAAATTAAAAAATATACTTGGTAGATTATATTTGATACTTGTCTGATGCTCCCAATGAGTCTAAGATCAGTATTCTGTACGCCTACTATGTAGTGAAATTGTGCAGCTGTACACTATACTCTGTTCAAAGTAAGAAACACAGTCGGCGATCGACTTGTGAGCAGGGGCGTGGCAATTCTGCACACCAGGTATATAAATTGCCAACTCGGTGGGGGCGACAAAAACTCAGCACCGCCGACTGTTCCTTATTTTGAACTAAATATAGTTGACCGCTAAATTCATTTGTCAATTTTAATAGAAGCCCCAATAAATATAATATATTATCCTAATAAAATACTAACAATTGAGCCCACAAACAATTTTCTAACATAATATTAATTTCCAGAATAAATTCATAATTAAACTGATGGTACACAACCTAATAATTCAAAACAACTAAATGCAAGTACAGTGTCACAGCAATAACAAATGTAATAAAATATATACCAGTATTAGGTAGGTACTGGATATTAAAGGGCATTAAAATTAAATTAATACTAGAAAAACTAAACTAGGTATTAATGTACCTAAGTGAATCTACACACCTATTATGTAATCATATTGTATTTTATAAATAATAGTAAAATATTGTTTACCTTTCCTTGACTAGCTCCTTCATGCCTACTAACAATGCTGGTACTACAGTTTGGTCTAAATATTGGCGCATGGGTGCATTGTGCTTGGGATTTTTCAGCCTTTTAGCATTACTCTCGGAGGAAGTTACCTTCTTTAAAAAAAAAATTAACAAAAGATATACATTAAGAAGATGTTGCATCCGCATATGTGTCACCGTTTCCCCGTTTTACTAACACATAATAAATCAAAATTTAAGACTAGCAGTTCCAATTTTGTGTTGTTAACTTCAATATTAAAACAATTGGTAATAGATCAAACTTAAATGTAAGAGCATTATGTTTTCCCTCGTTGGTGTATTACGATATTTAAATTTTTAGGTGAATTATGAGCATATACTCTTAGTATATACAATATTAATATTTGCAAATGCTCATAATTCACCTAAAAATTTAATTATCGTAATACACCACGAGAGAAAACATAATGCTCTTACATTTAAGTTTGATTTATTACCAATTCAACTTAATATTGAAGCTAACAACACAAAATTGGATCTGCTGGACATTTCATTTTTATGTGTTAGTAAAATGAAAACAACACATGCGGGTACGACGTTTTCTTAATAATACTTTTAATACTATTTTTAATATTATAATTACTATCATAATTATTGTTTTTTTAATATTGATGCATCAATACCTGAGATTCTGAAACACTCGACTCTGGTGGGGCATCGACGGCCGGCGCCACTGGAGTAGTAGCCACTTGCCCGTTGGTCGTTTCTATTACCAAAATAACAGAAAACAAATTATTTCAATAAATACAAAAATACAACAAATGTTTTTTGGTTGAAATTAATAATGAAAATATGTGCTCACCAGAAGTTGACATATCTAAAATATTAAAAATCAATTTAAGACAATATTTTAATAACCGTAGGCTCACAAATGCTCCAAAATACCAGAACTCACGAAAGGAAAACTAAAACATCACTGCCTTGTCAATCTATTGAACTAAATGGTATTTACTAAATACGATGATGAATGATGACAGAAATATAGAAACTTTAATATTATATATAAGTTTTTGTAGTTGTAGTGTTTGTACACATTATTATTGATAATAACAGTGCAACGTTGCCACTCATCACTCATTCGTATAAGCAGCAGCTGGCTGCTGGCTCTTATCGACCTAAAATACTGATAAAAAGTAACAATATTTTATTCATGATATCCATACTGTTGTAGTTGAGGTCTTCGACCATACAAGCTTATATTATGGTCAAAGGTTGAGGCACGTTGTGGTGACAACCACGATTTAAGTATATCTTTAATCGTGGTGACAACCCATAGACCTTTATATATCAAGAAATTCGTTGGTCCAAAGTGGTGTACCGATATATTTGTACCGGTTTCTAATATATAAGATCTATGTGTACCACAGACTATATGAAAATCACAGATTGTATAAAATATAATTTAATATAATATAATAATAAAATAATATATAATAATATAATATATTTAATTTAATATAATCTGTAGTAATATAATTTTTATCAATATATATTATATTATTAAATACATAATTAATTAGGTAATTTCGATTTAGTCAGTTGGTACTACATTTTCGAATCACGGACCTTATCATTTTTCGGACAAGTGCTTATCACTCCAGAATTCTGTAATAAGTGATAACTGATATGATATTCAATATTCATTACTCGAGAGTTCGATAGTTTAAAATATAATTATTGAATTACCTACTTAGTACTTACAAGTTATTACTTATTAGTCAGCAGGTATTCAATACTCTATACAATATTGTCTTAACTACGATTAATACAAACTGACTAAAAACAAATATAAACTTAATTATTATAGTGTATATACCTTGTACATCATGAAGCATGGACCATGATAAATGATAATGCATTAAAGAAGGCAATGCAGTGTAATTTTTTCACAATTACGTCTTGACTGTTTGTAGATACTCTAATCGCAGTTCACTTATGCCACTTATTCTGTTATCGGAATTCGGAATTTAATCAACTATAATAATATTAAGTATTGAACCATATTTTGATGTCAGAATTATAATTATATGAAAGTTTAAAAAAAATACTTTAAATTCGATTAAATACCAACATAGGCATGTCGGTATTGACTATTGTGTGTAATGTTGAATAATATAATTGTCAAAAGAACATGTTAAAATGATGTATAATGTAAAATATACTGTATAACTACCTTAAATAGTGATCAAAAATCATCCATGAAACTTGGTGCAGTTAATCAGTCTGTTTAGTATCGGTTGATGGTGTTCTGTAGGAAATTATAGTATCATTTTAGATATCATCATTATTCATTACAAGTAAGAAACCTACCTTTACCTATTTAGTATTTATCTACTGCATATGATTACTGTTTATTGCTATTTACCCATACAACCTATAACAATTCACTGTAACAATTGTTTTGACTTGTAGTTTGTATCTGTTTATCGACGTTGGGAAATTTTGTATTTTTCTGTTTTATAGATTGGCATGGATCCCAACCAGACCCAAAACGTCTACTATGATTATTTGTACACAATAAATCCAATTGCAGAACGCATACGCAAGGATGTTGACGCTACCAAGGATGCGTATCAATCGTTATGGCTTGAGCTAACTGTTGACGAACAAAACAAAATACTGGAAGAATCAATTATCAGTCCAGAAACTGTATTGAAATATTCAAAATACAAAAATTCAGATGTAAGTTGTTTTATAACTTTAAGTTTGCTTTTTTTGTGTGTTAAATTACATTATCAATGTCAATGAACAACATAGTGAAAGTCTCTGGGTGATGCAGTCTAGACTTAAATTCTTTGATGGAGACTTTTTTTCCCCTAAATGTTTAGTCTTACCGCAACCTAACATTTTTTTGTAACTCGTACCTATGTTATTACAAAATCATATTAAAATTGTGATTTTTATCATTTGGCCTCTGAGAGATACTATGCTAATTAACTACTGGGAGAAAAAACCCATACAATTCAAATTTTCGATTATGGGGAAGCCTCTCCATGATGATTCTTCACATTTTTTAAAGAATATATAAAAATTGTTTTAATTATAATGTATAATGTACATTGTAATATACAATTTTATGGGCGTTAAATTTACTGCAGCCTATAGTTCAATATTTGGTGACTGCAGTTGACTGAAAAAAAGTTGAGAGGTGGCATAATATGCATATTATGCTGATTAAGTTCGACAGGTAGCATTGAGGGATACCATGATAAACATTTTCTTATATCATAATTACATTTTTAATTTTGAAAGAATTTCCTTGTACATTTTATTTTTTTAGAAAAAAATGTCTGAAGGTGGATTTTCTTGGTTTACCAGAAGTCAGTTGGATCTGTGCAAACATATTGATATTGTCCGAGAGAACTTCACTGCAAATGAATGCAAAGCTACAGTTGTGAAACGAATAGTAACCAAAGAACCCCAAGACAACAAACTCATCAGTAAAATAAAATCTAACGCTCTGTTCAAATCGCTAATGCCAACTGAAGACAAAAATAAAGGTGTGAAAAGTGATAGGACAAAGCCTAAATGCCCTCCTCCGCCACCACCGCCACCACAAGTCATAAATCCTAAGCAAACAATTCAAGATTCAACATATGATATTCTTAATGATGATGACGATGACATTCCAAAGACAGGATTTGATTTTTTAGATAATTGGTAACAATTTACTATATAGTATGTGGACACAATATAAAGCAATAAAAAATTGATTTGCCAGCCAGTTTCATAATCAACAATTTTTAGAATTTAAAAAATTTTTTTAAGGTTTGAAATGTTGATATATTATAAATTATATAAGCTAGTTTTTAGTAGAATTATTTATGTATCTAGGCAATTCTAAAATTTAATATTTATTAATTTCTAAATAATTTATTAAATAACATAAATATAATCAAGAATTGGGATTTAATATTTTTAGAGTTAAAATATTATACCTATATCCAATTTTTAATTTGTATAATACTATATTAATATGATTTATTGTTGTTCAATTTCAAAAATTACTCTTTCATGTGTAAACATTATGTATTAATCATGTACATAATTATTTTCAGTTACCTATTTGCTAAAGTTTTAATTGCATTTTGCTTAAAACTATTTATTTTAATCCTATAAGCATGCAATGTTATTACAATATTTAAATATAACTAGCACAATTTGCCAATACATTATTACCTTTTAAGTTATATTATATGTATAACAAATAAATTATATTACAAATGAACATTAAACATTTTGTTTTGGCCATATAAATATTTTTTATCTCTGTCTACTGATTAATAATTATGTATAATAAATTATGAAATTTTCTTTTTTTTTTAGTTTAGTTAATAAAGAGTCCATAATACATAACAACGTAATTAATCAATTTGAAAGATTTCCTTAAATCAAAATCAACTTTGTAACAAATTAAAATATGAAATGAAACCATAATGTGATAAAATGTTGTAGAAATCTGAAACTTATGTTAATAAACATAGTTTTTGCATAAATACTGTTGCTGCAAAGATGTTTCTATATACCTAAACAGTGGCAGTGCCAGGATTTTAACAAAATAAACAAATACACACAGCAATAAAGAATTAAATAAAAATCATAGATGTCTAAAAATTAATACATATTACACACAAAATGGCACATCAACAATCTATTAATACTCGATGCGTATTGCATAGGTAAATAATTAATAACATAATTACCAACAAATTATAATGTTAGTTAAGTTTTGAAAATAATGTATAATATAGCCTATAGGTAATGGCGTAATGCCATTCATTATATTATTATTAATACATGTAGGTAGCACTGTGTGAAATATAGTAGTATATTATTCTTAATTAAATATTTTCATGATCTATTACAGTTATTTTTAGCTTATAATTTATACTTCTAGACTATATTTTCAAATTCTTGATATATTTGTAATATTCAAGAAGTGTTGAGTTGAGATGCAAACTTGTTTTTTAAATAAAAACCAGGGGTTCTATAAAATGTTTTTCTGACAATGCTGATATGAAACTTAATACTTGAACAAGTAGTTTTTTTAGGTATTAAGAAAATAATAGGTCTATAAAAAATGGGAACTTATGGGCCTTGAAAATTTAAGCAATTTTATCATTTTTAACCATCACTATCAATTTATTTGTTAAAATAATCAAAGTATGATAAACATTAGATCCAATATTATAACTATTTTATTTTCGTAAAACCATTTATAAGGACTATTATTCATTGTATAAAAGTTTAACTACAAAAAACTAATCATTCAAATTTTAAATAGTACATCAAAATTTAAAAAATAAACTTAATTTGTAAATACATGAAACTGTTTTCAAGACAATTTTATTTTATTCAAATCAAATTAATAGAAAGGAAATAAATATAAATAAATAAGACATAGGCAGTTAAAAGTTATAACCTAAGTTCATAATGTATTTGATCACAAATCATTACAAAAATGAACGGAACAGCTCATTTCAAACTGACTAGTATCAAAATAATACTTAAGCTAAATATAATATGATGATAATAAATTATGTAAATTTAGTAAATAAATGAAAAAACAAATGCCTGTTCTCATTATTAACAAATTATTTAAAGAAATATATAATATGGAACTATTAGTATTAGTGCTTTGCTATATACATGCAATCAATTATATAAAATGAAATGATTATTTTTAAAAATGTATGTTCACGAAAATGTATTATTCAATAACCGTTTCAGCGAGCAACGATGCCACAAGAAATTCCAATAACAAGGCCAATTAAATAAGATGCTAAGAATACATGAATCTCTTCAAAAACAAATTCATCCTCATCACCAGATATACGATTAAACCAACGTTTAGCTTTGCGTTCTTTCTTCCTTAATAAATCCTCAGCCTTGTCAAGTTTCTTGTCAACAAAGCGCCCCACCTGAAATCGGTCCATATATCAAGAAATGTCATACAAAAATTAAAAAATAATTAATTGATGTGTTATGTCCAATTTAAAAAGTATCAATGAATATTATATATATTTTTTATATATTTCTCGACTTCTTGTTCTTATAATTATTATTATTTTACTAAAGTTACAATATTTAAATATAAGCTTGTGATAGTTAAAATGTTGTGCAAAGAATTCTTAAATGCTGCGCATAGAAAATCTGTTTATGAGTAGGCGACACCAAGGAAGAAACCACCCGTAAATCCAGCAGCCATAATGGAGTTGGTCTCTACAATGTTTCTGACCTAAAAGACAATTAGTACAAAGAAAATATAAGAATCTCACAATGAGTAAAAAAGTACGAGTTGGGAAATTGATTTGGACATAATACATTTAATGTTTACAATATTACATTGTGTATGTTACCTTTTTCAATAATCCTTGCTTCTTGGTACTTGTACTGTCTTCGACTTGTTCAGCCACTCTTTCTACACCTCTGGTCAATTTATCCCAATTAATATTTATATAACCACTCGAATTGGCAATTTGTAGGGCTAAAATACCACTTCCGACTGTAAAAGCAGCAGCTTTACCCAATTTCATCATTATAAAACCAGTTGCCCTGGATAAAATAGAATGTATGAATACAATATATTAAAACCAAATAAGAATAAAGTTTGTATTTAGTACCATCCGGACGCCGAACCAAAAAGCAATTGTCTGGTTGCAGACTTTTTGCCAACGTCTCTGATGACTTTCTCAATCAAAGATTTCGCCTCTTCGGCAGTCTTTTCTAAATCAAAATCTTCAGATGTCGACGGGCCGTCATCTCTCTTGCTTACTGCAGCTGATGGTGCCATGTTTTTTTTAAATTAAAAATAATGTTTTCAGTCAAAAATGATAATATGTTAACTGGTTATTTCACGATTGAGAATATTATACAAAAACTGATTGTAATAAAAACGATGTATAATCAATAGCTAAAATAAATAGTAATGATTAAATGGGTAAGCGAACAGTTTCTTTTATGAAAATCGCAGAACAATGAAACAATAAAACATGAATCACTTCGAGTAATTCGGATCAATCGGATCTCGGGAAATTCGGACCAGCAATTAGCAACTGCGTCTAAGAATCTAAATAAATATCAATGTAATTTTTTATTGCAAAACAAAATATATTTTAATTTTTAAGTCACCAAAGTAGCCAACTCAACCAAATAAACGGGATAATTGCAATCTATTGTATATCGTTCACACAGTATCACCGAACTTTCTTTTGCTGCTAGATGACGCTGCTGTATACGATTTTAGGCCGGCGCCCGCTTAGATAATATAAGAATATAATATATTTAGAATACTGACTATAGTTATTCTAGGTAGAGAGCCTGAGAGCTCTAGTTATAGGTATTGTCACGGACTAAGTTAAAATATTTAAAATACATATAATATATTTAAAAAACTAATATATAAGGCAAACAACTTGTAGCGTTTACATACTTGTTTTGCAAAATTTTGTTATACTAGACATATAGCAACTAATATGTATTTACAACCTCGTGAGCCTAGCATAGATCCTATATAATCAATATAAATCTCTTATTGGAAAAATGGCACCATTTAAGATCTTGATTGATTGTGACATTCCAGCCGCTGGTTGTTTATCTGGTTTACGTTGTTGGCATTTTCCGCCTGAAATTACATAATTTTTTATATCTTTTTGCATATTTGGCCAATGATATCGCGAATTCGCGAAAGTATTTTATTAAACACTTTATGAACACCTAAATGTGCACACGACATTTTTTCATTATGAAAATGCTCGAACACCTGTTTGATTAAGCTAGATGGTAATGCTATTAATAGTTTTGGCGTGCCTCTATAAATATCTCTATGACTCTATAATACATGACTACATGAGCCTATCATCATCATTTATTACTTATGATTTCACCTTTCTATTTATTTCTGATGACTCGGGATTTTGAATTGCTTCAGTTATGTTTTGTAAAAAAATATCTCGCGTTTGCAACAAATGCACGGTTCTACCAGTGATATTATATACCGTGATGGCGTAAGTATAGAAATGGTTTTGACGATTTCTGTGTCGCAAAAAACGTATTTTAGGGCTGGGATTTTGATGCAAAGGCATCTTTTTTTCTGATGTTTTGAAACGTTTATCCGTAAGTGTAAAATGTGTTGTGGGCGATACCTACTGGTTTTTTTAAAGTATTTTTTATTTGCATTTTTTTGCATTTGTTGACAAAATTAATTCTTAAATGCATTTTTAGGACATTTTTTTATGTTTTTATTGTATTTTCTTGGTTTTTAGAGCATTTTTCATAATTTCTTCATAAAATGAACGAAAATTGTTGCGATTCACAAAAAACTTTCGGCAAACTGCAGACGGTACGAATAATAAATTATATATAGTATTATATATTCATATATTTCATGTATGAAATGATTTGATGTATGATGTACATGTATGATATGATTGATAGCTAGGGTTTTCCCCGAAAATTATCGCCGTTAAAATGTGAAACATTTTTTTAAATTATCATTTTAGAATGAATGATTAAGAAAACAGGAGCATAAAAAAACTAAATAGGTAACAACGTACAATAAACAAAAAAAAATTAATTACTGTAGTATAATTTAAATTTTTTCTAATTTTTAACCTATTATAAATATAATTTAAATGCATTTTTTTAGTTTTTTAAATCATTTTTGCATTTTTTTAAGGGCATTTTTTGAAATTTTTTAGGGCATTAAAATCCCAGCCCTATTTATCATGTTTAAAATAATTAACCAGTTTAATGTTTCTGGGTCGAAGGTAATTTTGGGTATCGCTATTTTATTTATGTTATATGTACTACAAAATATTTTTAACAACTTGAACGTAGTGAATAATGATTTATATGACGATTTTTTCATAAAATGTTGATTTTGTAATTAAATAGATTATAAATTAACTATTGAAATGTAAATAAGCGATCTGACCGATTTTTTTGTTTTGTGCCTTTAATTCGTTTACGTGGTCATATTTATTTTTTAATTCAAAACTTATCCCATTATTAATTTCAAAATCTTGTGAAACACATTGCACCAAGTGAAATGTTTCATTAAAATAGTCGCTAAACTAGTCTTGATTGACTTGTTGAATATCGAAATTAATTCAAACTCCCTGGTCATTTGTATACATAAAATCATCGTAAGAAATAGAATTGTAAAATTTTTCAGTAGAATTGAAATTGACATTTATCATATTTATATCTGATTCAGTATCATATCGACGCCCCCAACGAAGAAGGACGTAACCTTAGAATCTTAGATCATATACGATCATATATGATCTAAGGACGTAACTTATCTGGTTACATATTTTTTTTCTTGTTTTCCCGCGAAAACGGCAGTAACTCTATTCTTTCTAGGAGCTTATAAAAGTCAAATAACTAATAAACTCTCAATATTATCTTTCCGCCGAAAACAGACGTAACTCAGTTTCTATTTTTAAATTAGTACAAGCACTACAAAATATTTAGATAATTAATGACCATGGTAAAGGATATTATCAATACTATTAAATGACAAAGATAATATTATTATCATGCCGACGATAAAATAGGCATAAATAACTGAGTATATTCCCTTAGAAAATGTAATACCAGCCGATAATAATCCAACAACTAGTTTACCACTCACTGTAAGTTATGCAATAGGTATATAAATATTTTAGCTTTAACCATAGTAATTACATAATTGTTTTATGGTTTTAAATAGGGAAATAGCATACCTAAAAAAAAACGCAAACCAGCTGCAGTAAAACGGCATCTTGTAAGAAAACGTTTAAAACATACTACTGATTGGATTGATGTTAAATCTAAATGTCAATTAAACCAAGGAGAGGAACATCTCAACAGAAAGGGACAAAATAGAGATGCAAAGAAAATAGGCCCACCGTGTTCTGAAAAATGTAGAATGAAATGTTTTACCAAACTTAGCAGTACTGATCGTAAAACTATTTTTGAATTGTACTGGGGAATAAGTGATTATGACAAACAACGTGAGTTCATAGCTAGATATGTAAGAATAGTTCAGAAAAAACAATTAATGGTAAGTTCATCTCAGTCACGTAGAAATGTATCCAGGAAATATTTTATACCTGTACAAAACGAGGAAATCCAAGTGTGCTAAAAAATGTTTTTGCAAACATTTGATATTTCTGATAAAGTAATTACCTAGCAACATTTTCAAAAAAATAAATACTTCACCAGTTATACCTGCAGATCAAAGAGGCAAAAATTCTAATCGTCCTCATGCCATAAAAGACAATATGAAAAATTACATAAGACAACACATTGAAAGTTTTCCTGTTATTGATTCCCACTAAGTATATTAGATCTGAATCTACCAGAAAACATCTTGAAAATGGCCTTTCCATTTCTAAAATGCATAGACTCTATTTAGAATGGATTAAAGAGAAACCTATGACATCAACACAAGATAATTGTAGTAACATCATAAATGTATCACTTAGACAGTATACTGACATATTCAACAATGAATTTAATTTGTCATTATTAAACCTAAAAAAGACCTTTGCGACAAATGCGAGACATATAAATTGGCCAGCTTAGAAGAAAAAAATAAATTACAAGTTTCATATGATAAACATTTGTCTAACAAAACAATTGCATGACTGAGAAAGAACCTAACCTAACCCTAAAGAAAGGGCAATAAACAATCCTAAATATTGTGTTGTTGTCTTTTACCTACCAAAGGTGTTGACTTCTCCTCAGAGTTAAGTAAGTAGTTTTTACTACAAAAGAAAATATGCTACTTACAATTTCACAATTTTTGACATTGGTAATAAGCAAGATTATTGTTATATGTGGACTGAAACTGAAGGTAATAGAGGATCAAATGAAATAGGAACATGCTTGTTAAAATTTATTGAACTTTTAAAGGATAGAGGTGTAGAAGAATTCATTTTCTACTCTGACAACTGTGGAGGACAAAATAGGAATATATACATTTATTCTATGTGGGAATACGCTGCTTCAATCTACAAAGTTACCATCATTCATAGACTTTTTGAGAAAGGGCACACACAAAATGAAGGCGACAGTATGCACGCCACCATTGAATGTGCTAAAAAAGGCAAAATAATATATGTCCCATCTCAATGGATGACTTTGGTAAGATGTGCCAAACTCAAGAAAAATTTGTATGTGGTTTACGAATTGTCCAATGAAGACTTTTTGAACTTTAAGCCATTATTTAAAAATAAAAGGCTAAATTGGAAACTATCAACAAAAAAAGAAATAATAAAGTGGAATAATATTATTTAATTTATTTTGATTCATCAAAACCTGTTGGGTGTCTTGTTTGAAAATCCGCCACCTTATTAAAAACCTCTTGTTTATATTATCCATGTTTCTTTTTTTTAGTTAAAACATATTATGTTTAAGATCATTTTTTATTTTTTGATGTTAAGTATCTATTGTTAAGGCACGCCTTGGGGGGTAAGACCAACTTGTATGCTGTGACTACTAACTGCATTATGTAAAATAAATAATATAGTAATAATAACCTCAATAATACTTTGTAATTTTGCAACATCCTTATGACAACATTCCTTGAACAAACATTTTATCAAAAATATTTTTTTGTCTTGTATATATATATTCAAAATATATTATTTATAGTAAGAAATAAGAATAATAAAAAAAATATATTTATTCTATTAAAACTTAATGTTTTTTTTAAATTATAAATTCTTTTAATAACCATACATTTTGTTGTTTCACATCTGCCAGACATCCCAAGACGGATTATATTTTTTGTGATAAATTCCTTCATATTACAACCGTTTAAACTACCTTGTTCACTTACTTCAATTATTTCCTCTGCCATTAGGTACGTATGGTACAATTATTAACTATAATAGATTACCTGTATCTTCAATTAATATTTTTTAAATTTGGGTTTGCTTTTTAATTTTTTTTCAGGCTCAAATTACTTACACATAAATCTGATGTTATGGTGGATTTAGCAATCAGTTGATTCAAATATTAAACCAAACAGGGTAAGTACTAAAATATAGTGTTATTTTTAATTAGTATAGGTATTATTTTGTGCAAATAGTATTAGGTCATTACTTGATTACTTATTATTAATATAAAATTATTTACAATAGCATTGATTTTGAAACATATGATATTTTCTTGATGAAGAAGTTTGACCAGGATTAAAAGTTTATTTTGCTTGATTTTGCTACATGTTTACGTAAAAGATCATTGATTGGAGGTTTGGATATAATTAAAGAATTGAAAGAAGGCGGGGAGTTAATTTCTACTCTTAAAGGAGAAAAAATAGAAAAATAAAAATAGCTAGGTCACTTTTTTCGTTTTTGGTTATTTGAATGATGTAGTTTAATTTAATTTGGCATTTAAATATCAAAATCAATAGAACTATAGCCATAAGGAATATATTTACAAAATTATATGATAAGCCATTAGCCATGTGTATATTCAACCCAATTTTCATATGCATGTTACTCTAAGTAGCTTTTCACCTACACTTCATCCTGAACAAATATTTACAGAAAATAAAATAATACAAATATTATTGTAAAATCAATACATTCCTTTATTTTGTTCAAATGTAACAAACATCTAGAAGAAAATCATTATCAAACCTATATATTTAAATTATTTACCTAGTATATACTATTAATTTGTTTACTTATTAACAGGGCTAGGATTTGTATGCAACAGCATGTTTTTTTTGCGATTTCTGATTATTGATTTTGTCAGTAATGTCCGCGAATAACCTCATGATGAGATAAATGGTGATGTTTTTACTTTGCATGTTTTTGCATATTTTGGAAAAAATTCATATTAATGCATATATTGAATAAAATGAATATTATTGCATATTTCGATTATAAAAATGCGAAAAATGCATGTTTTATAGTATATTTCGTAATTAATATTTATAACCTAATATTAATATTTAGTATTTAATGCTAGTTCTGCCAATTAAAGTACCTATAAAACTTGGTTTTTTTGTGAAACACAAATTTTATTTTTATAAATATAATCCTATGGTACCATAGGTATGCAATTAAAAATTGAATAGTTTGACGGAGAAAGATCATTCATTTTCGAAAATTTGAAAAAATATTTGGTCATAGCATGTAACACACGTAGTGAACGTGAATTGTACATTTTATTTCTCAATTATATTACACTCGTATTAAGACAAATAATCAACCACTGATGTATTTCAATAAATAAATACTTTTTTTGTAGCTATATTTTTGTGTTCATCTTATAAAAATTAATATTTTACAATTTTTTATTGCATACAAATCCTAGCCCTGCTTATTAACTTCAAACTTTAATATAACTATACTGTAGTAGTGTAGTATTAATAATCGAGTTGTTAAAACCAAGTCAAACAATTATTATTGGATATTTGGATCTATATTAAGTATTGAAATAACAATTTTAATGGGTGTTCATATCTATCTAAGTATTATGTATTATGAAGTGAATTATTTCCCTTCGTCAATGAAGTGTATAATAATATATTTTAATAACACATTTATTCTGATCTCAGAGAAAATATTATAGGCACGATTAAAGTATTCAATTTTTTTTTACTGTTGTAAATTTGAAAGCCTAGTTTTGAATTTCTTTCAAGTCTTGACACTTCTAGAGTTTTATATTAAGTTATAGATTTGCCATTAAAACTAAAAACAATATTGCAAGATGCCGGAAAAAATAATGGACTTAGTAGGGTAGCTAAATGTAGTGTTTCCATATTGTAATTACATCAACTAAAAACACATTGGTTAACTGTATAATTCACTTTATTATAACTTATTATAAACTCTTAATATACAAAATACATGTTGTTCCTTTACGACTATACCATAGCTAGCTCATACGTCATAGCCCGCATAACAATATTCTGTTTTGGAATCTGAAATAAAAAATGTATCGAGCCATCCAAAGAAGACAAAAACTCGAAAATCGATGACTCCCATCATTTTATATTATAATGTATTAATATATCTATTATCTATCATCTATGGCAAAAGCCGATTGATGTCAGTCATCGGAGACGATTCACAATTCTAATAATTTCGACAAACAAAAGAGAATTACAAATTTCTCTTTTGTTCAATGAAATTAAAGTCGTTAAACACAACATGTTTTCTCACATATTTCATTCTGCTTAAGTATTTTTTATAAAATATCTCGATCCTTTTAGTTCGTAGTTAGATGAAGAAAGCAGTTCCTCGTATGATATCTGCACTCTGCAGGATATGGTCCAGCTTTATTTTACCCGAAGAATCGATGTATACTTAGGTAAGTTTGATTACTCATTCTATTGGGGCTTACATATCTTACTTTTTAATCTTAAAATTAAAATTTATTTCCACAGACAATTTGCTACCCGGGTGATGGTGCATTATTTTTATTCCCGAGCGCTCAACGTAAAAAATACACTAACACAAACGACGACGGCTTATCCAGGTCTCGGAATAATAACATATTTATGCAATTAAATAGGTATAAATGGTGTAGTATATACTAATCATACTACAGTGGTACAGTGTTACGGAAGTTGTTATGTCCCGTTAAATTCAACAATTTTTATTTTTAGCACATGTAAATGTTTAGTTACATTATGATATTTTAACTCTACCCTTCCTCCACAAAAAACTCAAAGTCCGGCGAAAAGTTCTAATGGGTGGGATGACTTAAGCGAGTTGAATAACGAATGAATAATAAAATATATATGAATATTACTTTGAAGTCTGTTTGTGAACCAACCGCGATTAAAACGACGCCGTAATTTATCGAACATTAAATTATTTTATAAAGCTGGTAGAATCACTAATGTAGTATATTAATAGTAGCTAATATAGTAGTATAAGTATACAGTATGTTTAAATGCTCTAAACAATATTCAGTTTCGGAATCTAAAATAAAAAATGTATCCTGTCATCCAAAGAAGTAAAAACTTTTTTTGAAATATAAAAGGGCCCGAAATCCAGCTGGTGCTGTCCGATTAATAATAATATAATATGATGACGCTGGCTAGTAATAGACGATGTTTTATTTTAACCTCCTGGCGCCTGAATCGTTTTTATGTTTTGTATTTATAAGTACCTAATGTCCATTAAAATGGACAAATCTTTCTACCCCCGATAACGCCTGACCTGTTTTTAAAATTTGCAACCGTATGTGCCGGATGTCCATTCAAATGGACATTTGTTAGAAATGTTTATATTATTTATTATTGTTCCTTATCATATCTATTTGAGGTTATAATATCATATCAAGCAAATTGAAAATAAAATATGGCCCGGCACTTAGGAGGTAAATATAAATGTCCATTGAAATGGACATCAGGCACATACGGTTGCAGTTGTTATAAACAGGTCAGGCGCTTTAGGGAGTAACACAAAATGTCCATTGAAATGGACATCAGGCGCCAGGAGGCTAAACAATCGGCGACGGCTTAGGACGAAATTCGCAATCTGCTCACTTGCACTTAATTTTTCTGACTACTGTTACCCGCACTATAAACCTGCAAAATCCAAAATGGCTGAATTACATAACATTGAAACCGCCTTTCGACGTCGGAGCAACATTAAAGGACACGATTAAGATCACCAAGGAAATAGATTACCAAATGATTGAAAATGAATTACGCGTTTTCGACAACTATGACGAGGACCCGAATGTCAAAAATTTAGCGATGCTTCTGAGTTATGCGACAAGATTTGTGGGCGGCGACGCGCCATCGATCATAATCAATGAGCCGGACGAAAACTCCAGTAATGAACCGGAAGAGTTGACCATAGAAGACGCGGTTGTCACGCCCATGGAGCAGGAAGCGGAAGTAATAGCGAAAAGTGACGATGCGATGGACGTCACGCCGGCGAGGGGAACTGAGTTGAGAAACAGTTTTGGGGATTTGGTCGGTTGGCTGGACCCGGGGTCAACAGCAACAACACGCTCACCTCTTACGTGCGATGACGACGGAGCTCGTCTCCGCCGCTTGGAGAGGCGTCACGGGCACCGTACGCCTTATATGTAATATAATAAAATATAAATAATACCTATAAGTTTAACAAAAAAAGGCATCAGACAATAATACAAGGTGACGAGAGATGGCGAGCGGGTGGTGCAATGATGTTGGCAAGTAAATGGCCACTGGTCACCAATACAGTTACTATAATACTGTACACAGTTCTCACTGCCGTGGATCGCGGGCGCGTTTGCTCGGGACGCAGACGACCATTTCAGCGGACGAAGCTTTCACGTACCTTAACAGTTTACAAGACCCCACGTCGCCTTACCTTGTGTGCTGCCCTCAACGAGGGGGGAACTTTCGGGCGCCTTCAATTCGGAGAACAACAGCACAGTACGCGTACGGTGCCCTTGACGCCTCTCCAAGCGGCGGAGACGAACTCCGTTGTCATCGCGCTAGGAGGTGAGAGTGTTGTTGCTGTTGACCCCGGGTCCAGCCAACCGACCAAATCCCCAAAACTGTTTCTCAACTCAGTTCCCCTCGCCGGCGTGACGTCCATCGCATCGTCACTTTTCGCTATTACTTCCGCTTCCTGCTCCATGGGCGTGACAACCGCGTCTTCTAT